GCATTTATTGTCTTTCAGCAAGTAGCCAGATGATTTCCTGTATAACAGGTATATAGGAGTGCAGGGTCTGGGAAAGGACACAAAGGAGCCTGTGTTGAAAGAATTCCTATTATCTGGAGCCATCTCATTAAAATGGCTTCAGCTCAACAATGAGATTCTTGGTAGGTGTTTGTTCAAAGGCCTAAAACATTATGCATGTGGGATTTTTGAAAACTATTAGTTGAGAAGGTGCTAAATATTGCAGAATCTTCAAATGACTGCCTTGAGCTCTCACCTTCCTAGGGGAGTGCCAACTCTTAAGGAGTCTCATTCTTTTTCCTGGGAAATTGCCTCTTCCTATTACAGAACTCTAAATAAAGAGCCTGTCTGAGCAGGAGAAGTGAATTGAGTGAATAGAATGGATAGTCCTATCTGGCTCCTGCACTTAAGGAAGTTGAATGTTAACTAAGAATCCACCCCCTTCCCCTTCCTCAGTGGAGAAGTAGAAGTGCATGATTAAGCTGAGACCATTGGTAAACCCAAATGGGGCTGGATGGAAAAGGTGAAGGGATTATACAAACAAACAATTTATAGGCAATCAACAAATAGTATGATTGCCAGAGGGAAAGGGGAGAGCGGGGGAGGTAGAAGAAGGTAAATGGAGGATCAATGGTGATGGAAGGAAAACTGACTTGGGGTGGTGAACACAATATAATATAGATGATATATTATAGAATTGTACCCCTGAAACCTATATAATTTTATTAATGTCACCTCAATGAATTCAATTAAAAAAAACAACAACCCCTGCCCTAGCTGGTTTGGCTCAGTGGATAGAGTGTCAGCCTGTGGACTGAAGGGTCCTGGGTTCGATTCCGGTCAAGGGCACATTCCTGGGTTGCGGGCTTGATCCCCAGTGGGGGATGTGCAGGAGGCAGCCAATCAATGACTCTCTCTCATCATTGATGTTTTTATCTCTCCCTCTCCCTTCCTCTATGAAATCAATAAAGATATATTAAAAAAAAAGAAAACAACCCCTGCTGTTCATGAAAACAAATGACCTCTTAAATTTCATTGTATGACCTAGGGACTAAAATGTGAGAAAAGGAGATTATGGATGTTAGCATAATCAGGACATTGTTGACTGTAAAAAAAATAAGTCAGTCTAACTTCTCACAGTTCCTTTCCGGTGTGATAAAAACTCTCTCTCAGACTTTCCTTGTCAGGATTTCAACTAGGGCAAATGTGCACTGGACATCAACAATGCAAGCATTAAGCCCTGGGTGTTCGAAGATGAATGTGATCCAGCCCCTGCGCTAGAGAGTACTCGATCTCATAGAGAATAGCCATTGTTAATGTAAATTTTATGCACCAAAAGTATTGTTTTTAAATATTTTATTGATTTTTTTACAGAGAGGAAGGGAGAGAGATAGAGAGCTAGAAACATCAATGAGAGAGAAACATCGATCAGCTGCCTCCTGCACATCTCCTACTGGGGATGTGCCCGCAACCAAGGTACATGCCCTTGACCGGAATCGAACCTGGGACCTTTCAGTCTGCAGGCCGACGCTCTATCCACTGAGCCAAACCGGTTTCGGCCAAAAGTATTTTTTGGTGATAATATTTGAGGCCCAGTGATCAAAAATACCTTCTCTATTGAAATTCTCACATAACTCATTCTCTGTGAGGCTAGGCTTGTGTTAAAAAGGCACGGCTGTCCACACCATGGGCAAAAACAGATTTTATATGGATTATAGATATAAATGTGAAACTCTAAGGATTCTAGGGGAAAACATAAGAGAATATCTTAATGACCTCAGGGCAGGCAAAGATTTCTTAAATAGGACACAAAATATGCTAACCATAGACGGAAAAAAGTGGGCAAATTAGGCTACATTAAAATAAAGAATTTTAGTTTATCACATGATACCATTCATAAAATGAAGTCTATGAAATGGGAGAAGATTTTGCAATATAAATATTCAACAAAGGACTTGTGTTGATAAAATTGATAAAAGGTAGATTACCCAAAAAGAATATGGGAAATAGACTTGAGTAAGGTGACTTGGAGTAAGAGGATGTTGGTTGTCTTGATTGAAGTTAGTGACTGGAAGGGAGCACAAGAGGCTTCTGAGATTCTGGTCATAATGTCTGTTATGTGGGTGTGTTTACTTTGTGGAAGTCCTGCAAATTATGTACTTTTCTGTAATTTCATTGAAAGTGTTTACATAAAAAAGAAAATGCCTTGTTTCCAGGAGGAACAAAATATTCTCAGAGGTTAACACTGACTGCAAATTATACCTCCTCATGGAGCATTGCCTCTACTGTGAAAGCAAAAGAAGTGTTGAGAGCATGGGTTTTGCAAGGTGGCCTGGGCAGGTCCAATTTGTGGAATCAACCTACACACAGAGTGGCTACAATATCCTAAGAAAGGAGGAGGAAAGACCATTTATGGAGGAAGCACTAGAAATAAGGTCGATTGCTTTACAATTTTGGGCATGGCTGACTCAGCCTGTAATCCTGTTTAAGCCACCATTGATGGATCACCTATCATGTGTCCGGGTGTTGAAACAGGCACTTTTCTGTGCATTAAAATGTTTGATCCTTACCACAACCCTGGGAGGTAGGCACTATGCTTATCCAAATTTGCAGATGAAGAAACTGAGGCTTAGATTAAAGAACCTGCTCAAGTTCTAGCTGGAACATATCGGCAAGCTGCAACTGGAACCCATGTCTGTGTCATTTGAAAGCTCACCCCTTTATATGTCTGTTATGTTGCCTTTAAAAATAGTATTTGATTGAGCATAATGAAAAGAAAAAAAATACTTACATCATATATGTAATGTTTAAATTTGATGACCAGAAACACTTTGAAATCAATTTTGAAGTCTGAGATTTACTGCACTACAGGTTTTTTAATGAACTGGAATTTTCCTTTTCTGTTGTAACATGGTTAGGAATAATTGGATACGGGGTGGATGGAGGACTGAGAAACCATCCAGGAAACAAGTCAGATTATTATAGGAATGCCCTTGTATGGGTGACCCACGAGCCCTTCTCTGTGCGTTAGGGACATTTTAATAATCTGAGCAATTGCCTTTGATAGGCATACTTTGTTTTCTGCTTATTAATGACTCCCTAGGCTAGATTTTATTTCTCTTACCACTAATTCAGATACAGAGATAGATTAAATGGATGCTGCTAACTGATCGCCACATCACTGTCTGCATATCAATGCTCTGCCTGCTTGGGTATGAAGAGAAAGAGAGAAGGAAAAGGGTAAGCCAGATATTCGTGGTAGCTGAATTTGTTTTAAAAGACAAATTCTGGAACAGAATTGTGAGATATACAAATTATTGATATTTGTGCATGGTTCGCTTTTTGGGATTGCCCTACTTAGCATACACATGTCTTTTTTCCTTCTTCTGATACAGAATGGCTTTGTGTCCACTCAGGTAGATATATAATACTTTGAGTTCTTTTGCTGCTGTTTTTTTTTTTGCTTATTTGTTTGTTTGTTTTCAGGGCCTTCATGTTTGCAGCCTATGGAGTGTTTATAGCATTGGAATAATATCACATCTCTAAATGAAATTTGGAGATGTGGAAATTATTCCAAACGTGTCTCCCCAGTAATCCAGTCAGTGGCCGTGGAAGCAATATGGTGGAAAGGCACATGATCTGATTTGAATAGAAATATATATGGGTATGGTTTTAGAGCTTTCTGTTTACTAAAAAAAAATCTCCCTTTATCCTTGGGGCTAGTTATTCCACGTTTATTGCTGGGTAATACACAAGAAAGAAGCACTATACATTTGAAATAATTGAAAACACCCACATCCAACTCAATTTATTTTATTTGAATCCATCTAGTTACATGGACTTGTTTGACATATTGCAGATGCTTTAAAAACCTGGACAGGAACTCTGGATTGCATTTCTCTTATTTTTGAAATGTAGAGCTTCTAGTTTAGAAGTCAATTCCTCTTCAGAGAATATGTAATTATTTATTAATTTGATTAGCTCTGTACATTGTGCTTTGAAGCAATTCAGAGTACTGTAGGAGCATCTGTTGTAACGTCATTTGGAGGCTGCTACATTTCAGAAATAACCCCCAAATGCTTTGATAATACCAGTTTGACATAGATCAATACAGGCAGTGCCACGGTGCTGCATAAGGATTCTTTGTCTTGGCTTAGTGTTGGTAAATTGATACTCTCAAGTATATAACCAAGGTGGTCTTTTTGAAGGAGGGTAGCTTTTTATTGAATTTTGGTTTTCCTCCTTCCTTGAAATAGTGACAACTGTCATTTTCCTCCTTCAAACAATAGCATCAGTGATTTTGTAAATAGAAAATCATTTTCCAGGCAGGCTTATGTCTATGCTGGCAACCATTTTATACACTTGGCCTCATTTAAATGGCCAGGACTTCAAATGTGTAAATGGACAAGTTTTTAGGCAATTTGGTTAGGCTTTCCAATCTCGCCTCTCCATTTCCTGTCTAAACAACTTCTCCCATGTCCACAGCATGTTTATACAACATTGAATAAAACTTCTAATGGGAAATTTCTTCCAGGTGACCTCCCTGAGAGGCTGGACTGTGAAGAAACCTTAAGAAACCCGACCCTGATGAAATTGCCTCCGTTGAGAATATTACTCGGTGCAGAAACAAGGAACCGAATTTAGTTATTTTTGGTTCTTGAATAAATGAATTCTGTTTCTTTTTGTGTAGGTGGCAGAAAACATTAACCCCTGCATAAGGTCCCGTCTCAGTTGGAAATTGAACTTTTGGTTTCTTTGAGTCAGTAGAACCTTTGAGAAAATAATGTTAAATTGTTTTTATTTGAACTTCAAGCAAGTTGGAATCGGCTCTGCTGTCTGCCTATCTTTTATAGAAGTCTCTTTTCTAGGGTTGTCTGTCTTTACATCTAATTTTCTGGAGGCGGAGACTGTGATTATCAAGTGACCTCCCACTCAGCACCACATGTGGGTGGATACTAATAAATCCTTTCTTAACCTTCTAGCACTTTTGGAGAAATCAATCAGTAGAAGGCGGGACACCGAAGCCATACAGAAAGCCAAAATCCTTTATTCATCTTGCATGAATGAGAGTGAGTAATCTATAATAATAAAAGCATAATATGCTAATTAGACCAGACAACCAAACGTACTTCCAAATAAAGCTGCAGCAGCTGCGAGGGCCAAGGGCAGGCAGCAGTGGTGGCCGGCAGCGGCAGGGTGATGGGGGTGGCGCCTTCCCCTGATCAGCCCGGTTGCCTCCCGCAGAGGGAGGCCAGAGTGGGGAGCGAGCCTAAGCCGTCAGCAGGACATCCCCTGAGGGCTCCCAAACTGTGAGACAGGGCAGGCTGGGCTGAGGGACTGCCCCTCCATGCATGAATTTTCGTGCACTGGGCCTCTAGTAAATCAATAAAGAAATAAAGAAAAATAAGTAAAATATTTAACATCCCTATTCTTCAGAGTTCTTTTAATGTTTAAAGATATTATTTAAGAAAAGGAACAACTTTCAAAAACTGGGTTTTGACTAGCCTGCCCTGTCTTAATGTTCTCTTGCTGGTTTGATGGAGAAAATGATTCTATTTCTATGGCTTGGATTCTTTAGGTATCAGTTACTCTATGAGACATTTGGGTGGGATCAGAAGGTCAAACCCCACTATATGTGGTACAGAAACCAGAATGTAGAGGCCAGGTCTGGTCTGAGAAGGAACCTGGGAGGGAGGTCACTTGGGAGTATTGCTAGTCCCCTAAGGACCTACTGGGGCCTAGAGAAATACAGATTCCCAGGCAGGCCAGGCTCCTGCTTCTCCATCAGCCTGAGAGTAATCTGTTGGTTGTCTTAGGCATGTCTCCGTATCTTGGGTCTGATTGGAGTTAAAAGAGATACATAATTTTATCTCGTCTGCTCTTTCAAGGTCATTGCAGAAAGAAGCCAGTGCTTCTGGGAAGTGTGTTAACTTGTTTAGGATTTTGGGTATTATTCAGTGAGCTAGACGAGAGCAGAAAAAGTAGAGTCTGAAGCATTAGTTCACTTTTATTGGGGTGTGATTGGTTTTATTGAGCAGTTGCTTTTACCTAGGGTTGTTCCTTAGCATTGTAGGGTATTATCAGCCTAACATCGCCCATTGCCTGGGGTCAGTGTAGTAAGTCCATCTTTTATAGTAGGGAATATCCAGCATGTTCCCTAGTCAGCTCTCCTGGCAAGAATACCAGGTTTAGACAGTGACATTGCTGTGTGAATCATAGGTAGATCTATCTCTGGTTATCTTCAGTCTACGGCACCTCTCCATAACAGCTGAAATGTTAAGTTGGAGTCTTATGGGAATTTTCTCTTGAGAAGATACCTTTGCATTCTAGCTTGGAAATCCAGTTTGCAATTCTAACTCTCCCTTAATCTTTTTTCCCTTTCAGAAGCGATCGAAAAGGCAGATGCCAAGCCATTGCTACACATCCTGCGGCATTCACCTTTTCGCTGGCCTGTGCTCGAGTCTAATATTGGTCCAGAAGGGGTTTGGTCAGAGAGAAAGTTCAGCCTTCTTCAGACACTTGCAACGTTTCGTGGTCAATACAGCAATTCTGTATTTATCCGTTTGTATGTGTCCCCTGATGACAAGGCATCCAATGAACACATCTTGAAGGTATAGTGAAGACTTGGTCATCCCGTTTGTTCTGTCCAAGGTTAGCTTTTTGGGGTGCTTCCTAGGTAACTCACTTGTCCCGCCCTCTTTCCTCCTGTAAACACCTCCCACTTCGTACAGCCCCTCAGATCATTCTTCTAGTTCAGTGGTTCTCCACCTTCCTAATGCTGCGACCCTTTAATACACTGTCACTTGTTGTGGTGACCCCCAATTTCATTGTTACAAATTAAACATAATTAAAGCATAGTGATTAATCACAAAAACAATATGTCCGATGGTCTTAGGTGACCCCTGTGAAAGGGTCGTTCGACCCCCCAAAGGGGTCGCGACCCACAGGTTGAGAACCTCTGATCTAGAGTATTACCCCCTTCACAGATGTGCAGGCTGTAAATCATGAACAAACCAGTTTTATTAGCCTTTTAAGAAGCTAGTGAGCAAGTTAATTTCAAGTGATCTGTGATCTGGCCCTCAATGTCTACTCTAAGCATGTGTGGGCACCTAAATTCCAGAGGGAAGAGAGCTGCAAAGACTTCCTTCTTTTTTTTTTTTCATTTAGCATGTTCTTTTTTTATTTTTCAATTACAGTTGACACTCAGTATTATTTTATATTAGTTTCAGGTGAAGAGCATAGTGGTGAGACACATAATTTGTAAACTGATCCCTCAATAAGTCTAGTACCCACTCTGCACCATACATACTTATTATGATACTAGAGGCCTGGTGCAAGAGATTCATGCACTCTGGAGGGGGTGTCCCTCAGCTTGGCCTGCGCCCTCTTGCAGTCCAGGAGCCCTCAGGGGATGTCCAACTGATGGCTTAGGCCTGCTCCCTAGCCTTAATGCTGCCACGGAGGCGGGAGAGGCTCCTGCCACTGCTGCTGCGCTTGCCAGCCGAGAACCTAGCTTCTGGCTGAACGGGCACTCCCCCTGTGGGAGCGCACTGACCATCAGGGGGCAGCTCCTGCATTGATCGTCTGCCCCCTGGTGGTCAGTACACATCATAGTGATCAGTCGTTCTGCAGTTTGGTCGATTTGCATATTAGCCTTTTATTATATAGGATTATTCTGCAAAGACTTTCTTTTTTATTTATTTTTTATTGCTTAAAGTATTATCAGGGGGCCTCCTGCATTGATCGTCTGCCCCCTGGTGGTCAGTACACATCATAGTGATCAGTCGTTCTGCAGTTTGGTCGATTTGCATATTAGCCTTTTATTATATAGGATTATTCTGCAAAGACTTTCTTTTTTATTTTTTGTGTGGCCACTCTCAGCAGCACTCCGGGTGTGAGGCCCACATCCCTGACATGCTTACTCCCT